AACACTATGTGTTGTTACTGACATTTGAAACCAAAGAAATGTCTCTTTCCATTTTAAGATACTTAGACATGGACTCTGATTTTTAAAACAGTTGGATATCAGTTGGAAAATAAGGGCAGCCTCATCCCTGGATAAATAGATGACTTTGAGTAAAATAGGAGTCACTTCTTTCTCATGTCACCTAAATACCATCAACCAGAAAATGGGTAGGGTAATTGTAGCAGTTCAAGTCTAGAGTCAAAACAAATGCAGATGGGACACCCTGGGGTTAGACAAGGCAAAACTCAGGTATCAACATGATTGACAAGAATAGCTGAAATCAAATTTCATTTGGTTGAGTTTTAACTTGGATACTATTGGAATTATCCTTTCCAGCCTTTTGGACACAGTCTCCTTGACTGAAAGAGCTTAGACAATATGATCTCTTGAAATTACGTTATGAGCAATTATAAGATGCTTTTGGAGCCAAAGGAACAACGCACACACCATTCAAGACCTGATTTTGTTTTTAAGTTGTTAGAAGTTCATTGAAAGCTTTTCTCTATGATGAGGGCCAACAAGATGGTTCAGTAGCTGATGATCTGAGTCTAACATCGGATACTATAGTGAAAGAAAAGAACTGTCTCCTGAAAGTTTTACTTTGACCTCCACACATGTTCTCTGGTGCCTGAGCACCAACTCTTATACACACATATGTATATACATAGAGTAATAATAATTAATTATTTTTCTTTATAATTAACCCTTCATTTTCTAGTACTCCAGGTTAGGAAAACTTTGTCTTTAAAAAGCAAAATTTCTTTAAGAATTCAAAGTTCTTCTTTTAAGAGGTTATATGGTATAAGTAGCTCCCTTGTAGCCTGCCCTCTGTCTGGTCCAGAGACTAATGATGCTGCATTCTGCCCAGGGCCTCCTGCCTCTGACAGTGAAAATACCAATTTGAATGTTGTGACTTGGAGTACATTTTGTTCCCAAGAACAAAATGTTCATCTCATTTCAGGGCATTTAGTGTCCTTGGACCTCAGTTACTAAATGCCAAAACAAGCCCCCAAACATTGTGAGAATGCAAGAATAAAAGCCACCACCTCTGCCCCCTTTTAAGTCCTTCAATGAGAAATGAAGCACTCCCGATTGAGAAATCAGGCCAGTGTCAATTTTCACTCTGCTCCTGGAAACTCGCTTCTGAAGCATGTCACTGTATGGTTGCCAGGAGCCACAAAGGCTAAATAAACACAAACCCCTTTCAATGGGGACAGTAAGAGTATATAGTACTTAAAGGAGGTCATCGTCCATGGCTTCTCAGAGAAACTTGGCTCCTTGGCTCTGCAGTAAACAGGGAGCTAAAATTAAGGCAAGATCTCTTAGGTCACTCATTAACTAGGCCACACTCACTGTGCAAAAAAATGTTCCCTTAGAACTCAGCATGTCAATGCAGTTCAACACTATGCTTCATAATGATATTGCCATAACTGTTTGCCATTTATTGATTGATTATAAGCATTTTGTAAACCCAATTTCTCCCTTCTACAGCTATGGAAACAAGAATCTATAGTCTCCTACACAGATCAGAAAACTGAAACTTGGGGGAAGATGTCATTTTTCTAGCATCTCACCACTTAAGAAATGGTAGAGCTGGTAGTCAAACAGAAGTCTAGCAGGCTGACAAATTCAAGACCATGAACTCAAGTTCACTACATTGGCCAGCATCCCTGGTGTTCTTTCATATGGCTTTACTTTAAATATCCCTAAGATATGAACTAGATTCCAAAGTGACACTACAAAACAGTCATTCTATACTGTGTTGTGCTGGACTTGCTATTTTTCATTATTGCTAGGACTGCACTCAGCAGGGCCACCTCATTAACTGAAGAAAATGTCCCCAGTTGTTTCAGGAGAGGTGAATCAGATGGAAGAGCATAAAAACAAGCTCTGGAAAATGCTCTTCTGTTCTCTCATTTACAGGGTGCAGCAAACTCCCATCCCAGCCTCCTAAGTGGTGTTTTCCTTATGTAGCGGCAAACATGTTTAGGAGGGGATGGAAACAGTTTCAGAGTTGCCTTCAAAAACTCTTCATCAATGTTTCCATAACATAGTAAATTGGAGCACTGAACACACTTTAATAATGCTCCGATTTAGGTTTTTTTCATGTAGGAAACTAACCGTTTGCCTAGATTTGTCCTAATTGGCTATGAGAAATAACTAATAGTGAGTGAGACGTTTAGATTTTTTGTTTTGTTTTGTTTTGCTGAAAGCAAATTCAAATGCAAGTACTTCACTAAGTATATTGATATATTGAAAGCTATCTCCCAGCTGCGTGGTAACTGAAATACTGCGGCTCTGCTCCTTCTGCAGTTCATTCTCTGTAGAAAATCCGAAGTGACTTGTTTCATGTTTCAAACACATAGTTTTCATTTTGTTAGTAATAAAATTAAAACTTCTTTGTGGACTAGTAGTTTTGTTTGTTAGTAATAAAATTAAAACTTCTTTGTGGACCAGTAGTCCTACATGATCTGCTGCTGTTCATGTCTCTAATCAGACCACATATTCCTTCTATATTATGGATGGTGATGATGTGGTGATGATGATGACAATGGTGAAGATTACAATGTTTTGAACCAGGTCTTATGTACCCCAGGCTGATCTTGAATTTGCTATGTAGCTGATAACTTTGAACTTCTTATCTGCCTGCTTCTACCTCCCAAGTAGAGAGATTACTAGTGTCCATCACCACTCCTGATGCTGTACATATTCCATACGGGGGATCAAATCCACAGATTTGCATGTCAGAGGCAAGCCTTCCACAACTGAACTACATCATCAGGCTTTATGCTTGATTTTTAATGAATATTTTCAACATTTAAAATGATCTTGTCTATCATGTCATTTACTTACTTGTTTCCTTATGGGCAGGGGGAACGCTTCTACTATAACTAGATTAGAACTCAAAATATAGTAGAATTCAAAATCACCTACTGAATGAATAGTTGAATGAATGAGTGAGTGAATTCTTAATTCTTTGCTTAGTGTTAAATGTCTCAGAATCACAGCATATGACACCAATTTAATTATTGAATGGTCTAGATCTAAGTAAATATGGGGCATTAGAAAATAAAATGAGACCTACATTTTGATTATGCTTTGTTTTGACTGTCAAAAATAAGAATCTTACTGGGAAGTGGGAAGATAAGCCATCAGGGAGGATATACTTCAGAGCATGTCATTGTGTCTGGACTGAAGCTTTCCTCTCATGAGATCTGGAGTTCCTGCGCACTTAAGCAGGCCACTATAAGTGCTTATTAACATTTTCCAGATCACCATCAGAACATTTCCAAGTTTCTGTTTACACTCATATCCTTGTCCTGTCACATGTAAAAACTAAGTTTTTCAACATTCCTCTGACTAGCATCCTTACTTCCAAAAGAAGGGCTTCATCCTCAGCTCTCCTTTCATAGCAGTAAACTAGGTTTGCCCTTAGTCCTTGGGTTTCTAGAGGCTCTATTTGTCCCAGGTGTCCTTTTATTGAGTTCACAGACTATACATGGAAAAAAGCTATTACCAGACAGAGATGTTTAAAAATGAAAACCAAACTAATACATGGACTCCGACAACTGGGATAAGGAATATAATATTTATAAAACCAAGTAGGAAGTTGCAATCATTGCTCTAAAATAAAGCATTAAATATTAATTCAGAGCAAACCTATCTGTGCTCCAGCAAGCCTCACTTTCATTAAAGTAGCATTGTGCGTTTCCCCGGAATTAAATCCCAAATAGGTAAATAGCTGATGAGAAGTGAGTGCTCTGTGGCTGCAGAAGAGCTACCTCCAGCCTGATTTAGAGTTACCCTTACCATTAAAGCCTTCCAGACCTTCACTTCGAACTAATTAATTGTGATTCTTCTGGTTCCTCTCTAGTCTTTTGCCCTTGAGTATTACTAGGAATGTTTAATTCACATGCTCATGTTCATCTTCATTTGATTAATCCAAATGGTGCTACGTTATTTGATTAATTCATATGCTGCAGAATATTAAATCTTAGGGAACACTGGGTGCCAGTTATAAGTTGAACTTGCATTTCTTTCCACAGCGTTCTCATTTCAAAAACTTTATGTCCTCATTTTTACCCATTTTATGCCTATCTCCCTCCACTTTGTGTTGGCATTTTTAGTGTTATGCTACTATTCTCATCGGTTTCCTACTCAGAATGCATTCAAATGAGAAAGCATTTTCAGTGAGATGAGGTTATTAGTTATTACCTGGCCAATGTAAAACATCCTTCTAAAGTCCTAAAATAAATAAGCTTAAAATTTCTTAGCCCAATTGATTTTCAAATGATTTCAAATAAAAAAAAAAAAACACCCAGTTGTCATTGTATTGACAGTCTATATAGTCCCCAGGCAGTCTTGATTGGATTCCTACTAAATGAAAGGGACAAGTGATGAACAAAAATCCAAAAAGTGGACCCAAGATGCTGGTGAGGTGAGCATGCTCAGCTGGGTAAATGGGTACTTAACCTTTGACCAGTGACGACAGGCCTGCTTTAGTTCTGTGAGGCCAAATGCAAGCTGTTATGATTAAATAAAAAAGAAAAAGAAAACTGTTCAGGGCCTTCTGAGCATGTCCTGGGAATTAAAGCATATGGCAGGGATAAGGAAAAAAGATTTTCCTTATGCTAATGACCCTGGATGTCTGAAATAAATTAGATCCATTAGAGTTTATGCTCAATAAAAGAAAGACTTTAAGCACTCCAAAGTTAGTGACTCGAGACCAGTTTTTGCTCTGAAATTCAATCTGCCTACTTATTAATTCTTAGTGAGGCTCCAGAGCAAACAGGGGGCACAAAATCATAATTCCATACTCAACCAGAATTTTAAAGAACCACAGGTTTCTTTTCCTTTTTCCTTTAATTAAACCATTTTTTTCATGCTTCCTATTTTGTTTTCCTTCATTAATTTGATTTTGTTTCCATTTCTGTTTCATTGTTTTTTTTTTTCTTTTCAAGGATTCATTTACCCCATTTCAACTGAACACAGAACCCAGAATGAATATGGATTTTCTTGTAAGTTTGACGTTTGGGTTTTATGCTGGGAAACAGTCCTTTAACATTATTGCCCCTGTTCAAGTTTGCCTTTCGCTGGCTCACAGATGTGCACACAGGAAATAGGAGCCTAATGTATTCTAACATGAAAAGCAAATTAGATTTTCAATGCTGAAGAGAAGAAAGGGTCATTTCAAGTCGCTGCCAGCTCTAAAAGCTATCAGTCTACCATTGACAGCACTAGTCCTCGTCACTGAGAAAACATATCATGGAATTGGCTAGGATACATAAAGGGCAGGGTTCAAATACTAAAAAGGAAAGGTTGAGACAATGCAGATCTGTTGTGCTATAAATCATGAATAAGTAAAGTAAAATATTAAGGATTAGATATACTATTCTGACCGGAGTTAAGATTTCTTTTACAGGGTCTCCAATAAAACCCCACAGCAAAGTAGAGTCAGCATTTTGAAAGCAGTGTTCACATAATGAAGAATATTGGGATGTTGGGATGATGCTGTCAATATTGACTTGTTCTATGGGAAAGTTGAAATACTGGGAAGGGTGGTAGTTTTTAAAGAGGGCACTTTCCAACAGTAGATTCATATAAACTGCCAGTGTAGTTAAAGACACTGGGACACAAGAAAGTGGGTAATTGCTGGGAACCCCTGGCAGATAAAATGATGAGTTATTTCCACACTTAAACCATGTGGTTCTGTGTCTTAGGAGAGAGGTTTCTCAAATTTTAGATCACAAAACCTACAGATTTGAAAATCCTCTCCATGACCACCCCCAAATGTACATGTATATAAGTTCACCATGAAGTTTTCAATTGTTCTTGACTACCTGAAGCATCAGCTTAACTACCTCTTTACAGTGAGGAGACTGCAGATTTGTTTAGCTTTGCAGAATATTTCTGATGGGTCTAAAACAAAGACCTAACAATGTCAAACTGATTTTTTATGTTTTGTCTTAATAATCAGTTTTTGTCACCTTTTCCATTTCTATCCAAGCCTGTTTCATGCCACCAAAGCAACAGGCAACATTTGTAAGAATTCTCTTTTTGCATTACCTAAAATAGCCCCCTGTAGATGGCACCTTGTGTTGGTCAAATGCTTACCTGGCCCATCTGATCATTGACCAAGACCTTTTCCTCTCTGACACATCACAGAGCTATAGTTTATTCCAGTAAAAAGAAGCTTAGATGGGAAGCTCTAACAAAGGTGCATAAGAAGCTCAGGGTTCTGAGAGATAATACTGTGTCTGCATCATAAGCTGGAACTCACATTAGTTTCTGCCCCAGATCGGGGCTTCTGAAAACACACCTTTCTAAGCCACCATGTTCACTCCTTACACTTACTTTGCTGTATTGCAACAGTCCCACGGTTCCCATACATTCTTGCACTGATTTAAGTGAAAGAGAGAAGAGTGTATAGGAAGCAGTTTTATGACTGAGTGGTAGTTAGAAAAACATCTTGGTTCAATCCACATACAGATTAAAATTATGCCAGATGTTTCTGATAGTGTTTATGGGTTGTTTTGTTTTGTTTTGTTTTGTTGTTTTTTTTTTAACTATAAGTGAATTCAAAAACCCTCCCAAACTTTTTCACCTGAAAGGAGTAATAAAGTTTTTACTTCCTGTGGTTTGAGATGGTTTAGGCTCCAGTTTCTTTAAATGCCTGGCAATAAATAGTCTGTTATGCTGCCCAATTATGAGATAGATTAGTGGGTAGATTGATGCAGAGTGAGAAAGAAAAAGAAATCAGAGATAATTTTCCATTGAAAAGCCACAGTCATTTTATATAGCTTTTGAAATAGACTTGAAATTAACCCATAAAAATGGCAATAAATGTCTGAAAAAATTACTGCAATACATATGTGTTCTGTGGGAAGTTTCTCGAAGCAGTTGGTCTGATGTTTCATTCTTTCTTTCCAGCTGCTCCTGACTCAGATGATGTTGCGCTCTATGTTGGGATTGTGATCGCTGTCACTGTTTGTCTGGCGATCACTGTTGTGGTGGCCCTGTTTGTCTACCGGAAGAACCACCGTGACTTTGAGTCTGACATCATTGATTCCTCAGCACTCAATGGCGGCTTTCAGCCTGTGAACATCAAGGCTGCCAGACAAGGTCAGTGAGCTTTCTGCCCTATGAGTTACACACGTGGTGAGCAGTGCGCCCGCACAGCTAAAAATTCTGTTGCATTTGTGCCATCCAGTGGAGCTAGAACAGAAGCTGAGTGAAGGCAGAGATTTTGGTTTGCTTTGTTCATTATAAGAATGAAAATATTGGTACAGTCAGTCAAAGTTGATGAGATGCACAGATCATTTCTGGTTTGCTTTTCTGACAAGTATCTCTGTCCTGCTTCTTAACTTCTATTTGAAAGAATAATTACATTGATTCATTGATTTTTCTGGTCTCTTTTGCCCTTCTTATAATGCTTTTAATGCAGTGATGTGCAGATGAATCCATATTTAGCATAGGCAAGCAAAAGCATTACCAGATAGTGACTCGGTAACTCTTATTGTTCTTTCTAATCTGTTGAAATGGCCGAATACTGTAAGTGTCATGATTAGACCCCAAGGCAGAATATCGAAGGAGCGAGGTTACCTATCAATGGACAATAACAAGATAGATGCTGACACTACGTTTGCCCTGTTTCCCAGAGCCTGTGATCTCTCCTTCTGTACTGTTAGCAGAGCAGCTTTGCTTTGGCCTAATGGTGTGAAGTGGTTTCTCACTAATCTAGCATGGTCTGAATGGAGAATAAAAATGGAATTCTTTTCTCTTTCTGACTCAGATCTCCTGGCAGTGCCCCCGGACCTCACCTCAGCTGCAGCCATGTACAGGGGACCTGTCTATGCTCTGCATGATGTCTCAGACAAAATCCCAATGACCAATTCTCCAATTCTGGACCCACTGCCCAACTTGAAAATCAAAGTGTATAACACCTCAGGTGCTGTCACTCCCCAGGATGACCTCTCTGAGTTCACATCCAAGCTGTCTCCCCAGATGACCCAATCCTTGCTAGAGAATGAGGCTCTTAACCTGAAGAATCAGAGTCTTGCGAGACAGACTGACCCATCCTGCACAGCATTTGGCACCTTCAACTCACTTGGGGGTCACCTCATCATTCCTAACTCAGGTAATTCTTAAAGCTTTAAGTGACAAAGATGCAGCTTGAAATCACACTGGAGTCGCTAAAATCTTATCTCTGTTTGTTTTTATTGAACCTAAAATGTTAGATGTTGTCTAACTCAAGTTTCCATTCAGTAGATCTCAAGCATTACTTCATACAAAAATCTACAAAAGCATTTATCTTCATCCAATCAATTGTAAACTCAGTTCCTCTAGAAAGAACTTTCTTCTGAGAATTTTCTGTTCAGAACTGGCACTGACCACCTTGAAGGTATAATCAACCCAGGAACCCTCACTGTAGTCCCTGTAGTTCAAAACAAACTAATTAGAAAATGCAGTCAGTTGGTTTGGCCCAATTTTCTCAAGGAAGCTAAATTTCAGAAAATATTACATAAAAGACACAGAATCTTCATTTATTAATTATTCAGTACATTATTCAATCAGAAAGTATCTGTAAGATATTTATTCCAGTCTATGATTTATTGTCTACAATCTCAACTTCATCTAGTGTACATTTGTAGTTTTATTTATTTTAAGTATATTATATAGTTTAGCAATGTCTAAAGAATAAAAAACACAATCGTCTTCCATAGAGGACTTAAGTCAGTGGCTGCCAGTGTTGAAAGTTGGTATTCATTTCCAGTAATATTGACAGACTTGCAACTAACTATAAGACATAAGACAACTAATAACTACTTACAAAGCACAGCCTAACACTTTCCAACAATCTGTGAATATTTTTCAATAAAATAACAGAAATGACTTCACTGACCTATTGTATTGTCATATAAAATTATGTAATTATGTTATATATATATATATTATATAAGTAATATTATATATATTACACAAATAGTATATAGTATATCTTTTATTATATTATTAATACATAGTATATGTTTATGATATAATTATAGATACTAGTATATACATGTGTATATATACATACACACACATATATACATATATATATGAGTAAGTATAAAACCACAGGAATCTATAGCCTGAATATGAAGCTGTCTTTGGTTTTTCTTATTCATTCCCTGCTTCAGTGCATTGATAACTCTTTACCCATCCCTTTGAAAAGGTCCTCTAATAAAGTTAAAATTATTTGACAGAATATCATTTTTCCTTTTGTATGATGTATGTAACAGATATCATGTTACATAAGAAGTGTTTAACCTTTTCTCATTAATTCCCATGCTATTTTTATGCTCTTTAAAATCATTATGTGTATAATAGTCCACTAACTATGTAGTCAAACATATCCTAGTCCTTCATTTAAAAATTACATTTATCCATAACATATGCTTTCTTCCATGATGCTCATTGAATTCTCTTTTTCTTTCTGTTTCTGCACCCACCACTTTCCAATATGTGAATTATGACAGAGTCTTTTTTAAATGGAAAGAGAGTAGCTAGAATGTTGTAAACAAACGTTAGATTATTTCATTCAATAGAGTACAGTTGTTTTCTAACTATTCTTTTTCTTTTACATTTATAATTTTTCATCCCCTTAGCGAGATCAAGGTACATTGTATGATTTAATTGGAAAATTAATTCTGACTCTAAATTGTCTCATATACAGCCTTCCTGTTCCAGTCTCATGGCCTCCATAAGCCAAGCTTACATTAACACCACATTCCACTTCCCTATCACCATAGCTGCCCTTTCCATTTCAAGAACACCATGGTTCAACACCTTCACAGATAGGGTTCTGTCAAGACATTCAAATAATTGCACCCCTAAGCCCCTCAGCCCTCTATTCTATGTTCTTGAGATTTAAAGCCACTTGGGCAACTTTTCCTTCTGCCTTTTCTCATTGGGCGCATTCTACTTCATGCCAAGTCATTACACATTACTCAAGGATCCTTGTTTTTTTCTTGACATTATAGAAAAGTCAGATACTGTCCTCACAAAGACAGTCTATGCATTTTACTGCACTTAATTAAGGTTCATTTCATGGGAATGAAAAGATAGACCCAAATATCTTTAGCCAAGTCACTCTCTGTAGTGCTGGTCTGTACTATGGGAGTTGTAAAAAGGGTAGACCACAGACCACCATCATGGACCTCAACTGAAAACTTGTTCAAACTGAATAAACAAAAATGTTCACCCAGTTTTTGAAGCCAGCATCTCCAGCATCTTCTGACTCCAGTTCAAATAGTCTCAGTATCGTCCAAGGTCCAGTTCTCACTCAGCTGATACCAATAATCTTGGGCACCAATCATCAACAAATGAGAAGTGCACAGACCTGTTGTCGCTGGGTGAGATGTTGCTGCTCATTTTCTAGAGTTATGTATAATAAAATAAATTCTTCCCATCACTAGCTCTGCTGTGGAATAACACTGATGCTCACCAGATATTTCAGGGGGGAAAATGTTTTCTGATATGGCTGAGGTTAGCATTTCCCTGACATTGAATTTCATGAGGAACTTTTTTTTTTAATCAAAAACAATGCATCATTGCAGCTGTTTAAAATTTTAATAGCAGTTTTTGGTTTCTCCACGATTTACAAGAAAAACAACAGTGGAACCATCTGTCTATTCCTTAAATAAAACACGAACTTTTAAAATGACATCACTCTCTTAAGTAATTCCATAACAGTTCAGAGGGAGCTGTGGTGAAAAGCAAGGCCAGCAAACAGGGAGGGAAGCTATAGACCTTTACACGTTTTTAGGGAAAATGGAAAGTGCCACATGGGCACAAAATCTCATTCCCTTTTGCTTGTTGCAAAAGCTTCCTTTTGGTTCATAGGACTTATACAATTTTTTTTTCTTTTGCGATTCAGGAGTAAGCTTGCTGATTCCCGCTGGGGCCATTCCCCAAGGGAGAGTCTACGAAATGTATGTGACTGTACACAGGAAAGAAACTATGAGGTAAACATGTTTTTTTCTGATGTGTTTGACTTTATCAATGTCTCACTTGGAGGAGAATTGTACACTAGAAACGATAGATGAAAAATATTTTGTCTTGAGTGACATACATTTGACTCTAGACCTATAGAAAACAAAGTCCAATTTCACTTCTCTTGCCTATTGAAGCTTCAGACACTGCATATCTTGAGTGTGGATAGAATGCTAGAGATCTTTTCTATGAGCGGACATATAATCCTTTAAGCAGGAAAATACGGCCAAAAACATGATTCACAAATTGTCCGGAGATGTGGATTTAGATAGATATGCCGGTTTCCTGTGACCTGAGTCAAAAATCTAGCCATAGTAGAGATAAAAGTCACAAAAGTCAATACCCCTTAGCTTCTGACATGGCCTTCCCACCCTAGCCTAGCATAACTCCTGATAGTCCCCCCCCATCTCAGCCTAGCACAACTCCTGATAGGCCCCTCCCACCTCAGCCTAACACAACTCCTGATAGCCCCCCATCTCAGCCTAACACAGTCCCTGATAGACCCCTCCCACCTCAGCCTAGCACAACCTCTGATAGGCCCCCCCATCTCAGCCTAACACAGTCCCTGATAGGCCCCTCCTACCTCAGCCTAGCACAGCCTTTGTACAGATTCTTCCCTTTATAACTCTCCTCCAGCACGAGTTGTCAACCTTCTTATGCTTAGCTTTTATAATTCAACCTTTCAAAATGAGCCTGGTGTTGATTAAAACCATACTGAATCCAAAGGTTCTATTTAGAAAGTGTCCTATTCATCAACATGCAACTATTTTAAGTAAAAATAATGACAACAGGTTAGATGTCCTAAATTCAATTTTTAGTTTAGCTTCTGACACAGCAGAGATGGTCTTTCTTGATTAATTCCCACATAAAGTGTGTTCTTTGTGTGCTTGTTGTTGGGGGGCGGGGGTGCAGAGCACTAGAAGCCTGGGTGAATAATGCTTTCAAAGATACCTTGGCATCTTAAAACAAAGATGTTTTGAAAATGGAGATGCTCCTTCTATAAGGATCATTGTTGGTCCAGGAAAAAGCATCCTCAGGTCTGGCTCTGAGCAGAATCTGAGTGACAAATGCAGACCAGGTGATCATCTTCATGCACTTTACTCCCTACTCTCATTCTCAGGAAGCCAGCTCTTTTTAGTCCCCTACTTCAGAAACCAAAAAGCTCTTTTGTTATGTGGAAACACAGTTATTTATAACAATATGACCCAGAACATTTCCCCCCTCTGGTAGTATCCTTCCACCTACACAAACAACAGCCAGACTAAGAAGTTTAAAAACAAACAATAGCAAGAAACCAAACCACTAACCCTTGCATAGCATTCATGCCTTAAATTTGAGCCACAGAAAATCATTAAAAGGTTTGTATTTACTTATGTCAAATATATTTTTTCATCTCTAGTGTAGAGCAACATTCACAGATCCTTAGGACTCCCTGCTTTGGGAGCAAGACAAGCAATTAACAAACACCAAGATGGATTTATTTTATTCTATTTTCTCTCGTCCTAAGCGAAGGTGAACATTAAACAGATCCTGCCCCCGCAAGGCCTTTGATGTTCTGGGCAGCGCCTTTGACAGACCTGAGAACTGGCTTGTAATTCCTGCTGCAGAGACATGCAGTGTTCCTGGGGTCCTTTATTCACGCTATCACCATTATCCCCAGCTAAAGCCCAAGCCATACTGGGCTACTGCCACCGCATGGTGTGTCCTCTCCCACTCTCCCCGGTTTTTCCTTTCCATTGTACATTTTGGACGGAGGGGAGGGAATAGAGTATTGATGAGGCCAAATACCTGTTCCTTAAGGTTCCATTGCCTTTGACTTTAAGTAATGAAGGGGGAGTTACTCTATTGAACTTGGTTTGCATCAGGAAAGTTTTGTGTGTGGAGAAAGCTCAGGATCTCAAAACAAAATATGTAGAAGGTGGGGTGGGGAAATGGCTTAGTGTGTAAGCTGTTTGCCACAAAAGCATGAAGGTCCGAGGTTGATACACAGCACCCCACATATAGGCATAGTGGCACACACCCGTAACCCTAGCACTGGGAAAGGAGAGACAAGAGGACCCTGAGGGCTTGCCAGCAAGGCAATGTGGACAGATTGATTAGCTTCCATTTCAGTGAGAGATTCTGTCTGAGAAAAATAAGGTGTAGAGCAGTGAGGGAGACACCAAAAGTCCACGATTAGCCTCCACACATGAATACATACACACAAAAAGAAAACACCTACCAGAGACTATGAGCCAAAGGTAGAACACAAGATGACCTCTCAGATAAATGAGAAGATCTCACACCACTCATTTTCTAATATGACACAGATGTGGTCTCCCTGTAAAAGCACAGTGGTAGTGTATTTCAGAATGAGTAGCAAAACTAACTATCCCTGGTGTTCCTTCTGCAGACTCTTCTATATGTTTCTGTCTTGGTAAAACTCTGTACATTATCATGAAGCCCACTTTAAAGGTGAGGAAACTCAAGCTCTGGGCATCAAGGCTCCTCAGTGATGGAGGAGGGCTAAATTCAACCCAAGTCCATCTGACCCCAGAGCTCTCCTACTTTCCAAGATGACATCCCTCCTGTGTACATCATAGACCCAACTCCACCTTCTCATTATCTTACATTTTCCATACACTCATCATTACACAATGAAGACCTTTCCAATTTTTATTTAATTTTTTTCCCACACCAAGAAACGACACCAGATCTCATTACAGATGGTTGAGAGCCACCACATGGTTCCTGGGAACTGAACTCAGGATCTCTGGAAGAACAGCCAGTGGCCTTAACCTCTGCGCCATCTTTCCAGTCCCCTCTCCAATCTTTATGTAATACAGATGAAACTTTTTTTGAGAAGTCAGGGTGAGGACATCAGGAGAGGAGTGCCACTTGAAGGCATGTGCAGCAGAATTGTGAGCATTATTTTTCTCCACTGTTCTTTCTCTCTGACTCCTTTCATTGCAACCAGAACTGGGTGTGTTTCCAGCTGGATAGCACCCAGCTGGTCATCTGCTGATGTGAGTTGTCTGAAGGGAGGCGTGAACTTAATTACATGTGGCATAGTGAATGTGACAAATGGGGCCTTATCATTACTGAATGTGCTCTGTGCAAAGCACAGACTGGCAGATGTGTGGCCTAAATGAGCCAGAGATGAGACAAACCACATCTGACCAAAGAAGGTGAAGAGTTGCAAGGCCAGGCCGAGATTTCTTCCTCTCCTGCTTTCTAGAGCCCTGGAGAAAACACAAAGCCACAGTTGTTCCTTCAAGCAGCCAGCCAAAGGGAGCAACCAGTTCAGAAATCTCACATGTGAAAGTGGGGGTCCACAGGAAGTTTATGAACAGCTTAAGGACACAGGATTAGCACTTCTTTTTAAAGAGTGATGTGGTAACTTATGATGTGATGGGCTGGGGGAAGGAATAGTAAGTACATCTTCATGAAGGTTCTGGGTTGGGTTGGGCTGATGAGCAGTGAGTGTTTAGTATGCCAGACTTGAAGACAGAGGAGTAAAAAGTGAAAGCTACTGCTGAACAAAAAGTATATTTTAACTGGCCAGAGTGTTGAAAAGGAATACATAGCATGTGTTTAAGGCGCAAGGTCTGGGCACTGCAGATGAAGGAGAGATAATGCAGCCACTGGCTGGAGGGGAGAAGCTCGGTTTCTGAGGGAGATGTGCTCTGATGGAAGTGGGATAAGATCTCAGACATAGACACAGAAATGAAGTCTCAGCAGGAGATGGATTTCCAAGGCAAAAAGAAACAAGGGTAGGGGGGCATTCCAATTCTGGTTTAGTTTGTTATTGAACTACATGTGAAAGGATAAGGTGAGCACATAGTTTGGATCTGACACAGCGGTACTATATAATGGCTCCTCCCTGAGTCCTTTTGAACTAAAGAATGAATATGTATAAGGATAAATAAGCCACAGTATAAGAGAATTTTTTAAAAGAAAAGGTAAAGAGGTATCCTAGATCAAGCAGGTGATTGACAGTGGCTGAAATGTAAATAATGAGGGAGAACCATTTTAAAAACTACTGGGTTTGTTAACTACAGAACTAGTCCAAGGTGTGAGTTAGTGACAAGACAATGGAACAACAGTGACGTATATAAAGTCAGGAAGGTAGTAGGAATATCAAATCATGGCATAGTGAAGCACGCTTCCTGGGAGTAGATAATGAATCGGCTATTCCATAGCTTCCAGGGGGAAAGGTAGCCAGATGCGGTGGTGTATGTCTAAAATTCTAGCACTCACAAGCTGAGACATAAAATTCCGGAACTCAAGGCCAGCAGTGTCCGAGTAAAGACTCTGTCTCAAAAAAAGAAGGAAGGAAAGGGGGAATAAAAGAAAAGAAAGACTTCATTAAGTTTTAGGATCTACATGAACAATATGCCTAGAAGGAGCCTGGGTCCTTCTTCTCTGCTTCCTCATAAAGAATATGTTTGAGCCACAAAGATCCCAAGACAAAAGTAGGAATGAACTTAAAGACTATTTGTGTTAAGATCCTCCAGGGAAGTAGATGGTAGGGGCCCAAAGTATACGCTTCAAAAAATAATTCCACAAGGATTCAGCTCAAAACACAATATTTAGCTGTTCTGACTTAATCTGGGGATAGACTCTGCCTGTCTGGGAAAATGGTAGCATGCCCTTCAGAGTGGCTTCCATATGTATGTGGCACGTGTGTGTGTGTGTGTGTGTGTGTGTGTGTGTGTGTGTGTGTGTGTGTGTGTGTTTTCTCAATTGAGTTTTTGATAGGAAGCAAGTTGGATATTCCCTGTCAGGAGCACCTAGTGCAAATATTTCAAATTTGCCCGTTATGTGGGAATGTGTGTGCTTTTGAAGGTGGCTGAGCCTTAGGTAGGATTGTCACCCTGAAGGACCTGACAGAAAGGTGTGTATTCACAGAAGGCACCTTATGTCCACAGAGAGGTTGATGGAGGCAGATCCTTTTCAAAAAGTCCCCAAGCTTGTGGAAAGCAACCCCATACACACCAGTGTGAAAGAAGCGAAATGATTTTTGTGTAAAATCTTATGGTGCTAATCATTAGGCCTGTATCCTCAGGCAAGTGTGCTAGCAGCTCTGGTTTCCTCCTCTGGAGAGGGGTCACATGAACACCTACCTTACCTTACAGGTGTGCATGGGCAGCTGATGCTTTTGCTCCCATGAAAATTATCTGTGCTGTTCTGTGTACAGAGTCTTCTCACTGATAGGCAGCAGAAGCTGAAAGCAAATTTCTCTGACAAGAAAACCACCTTCTCCGCTCATGAACTTTATCCCAGGGGCATGGAGACCTGAGCAGTTGTTAACGTGATTTTATTCATGTTAGATTTTGTTTGCTTGCTTGTTTGCTTTTGAAACGCTTTAAGAATCTGATCATTGAACTTTGCTGAGTTTCTACTTAATTGCTGCTTCTGTAGCTAATTTTTGTTCTGAGTTCAAGTCCCTGTCATCTGCAATTAGTATGTACAGATTGTTTGCTTGAGTGCCTCAGATAGCACATAGGACATAAATAGATTAGAGCCCTTCTCTACAAAGTCATAGATGAAGTTTACATGTAGTTTCTACTATTTGACTCTATGTATTTTGGATGCCCTCCCTTTACGTAAGTAATGACTGTATGAATTTAGACATTTCTGACCTCTGGTTTAATATAGTTAACTTTTACCTATGTTCTCCTTTCGCATGTGGTGGAAACTGCCTTCTGTTTCTACCGCTTTCTTCATCTTGGGAGCATATGAGAGTCTTAACTTCTTCGTTGTTCATCCCATTATGAATTCGACTTCATCACTTCCCTGTTCATTACATTTTTGCACCTCACTGAGTTAATTAATTCTTTTGACACCCATAGCCCACCCCGTGCTCCCCGCCTTCGTCTGGTTTCCCTCCTCCAAGAGCAGTGCCCATCAATACAGCATGCCAGGGGTGTGCTCAGTGTCCAACTGACAGTTCCTCAACCCAGCAGGGGCTTTCTTCTTCCCCCTTATGTTCCTGGGCAGTGATAGGAAGCCCCTCCTTCCCTTCCCCAAGCACAAGCTGCTGACACCAGCCTGACAGACAGACTTTTCCAAACCTCAGCTCTTTGCTAGGGCCACTTGAAATGGATCCACTTGAGGTCCCTCCCTGTAAATTTACTGCTCATCTCTCAAGGTACACTTGTAACTAAAAGGTAGGAGTAGGTCTCAGGAAAGCACAATGGTTGCAGGCTTAGTTCTCTCCTGGTAGGAAAAGTGATATTAGGCAACAATAAAGTCATCGCCAAAGGCTGATAGTGTAATATTAATCATGACAAAATGAAAGCAAAACTTCACTTATGTTGTATAGGGGGGAAATTAGACAAAGGGAGGAAGACAAACTGTGTTAAGAGAAAATGAAAACCAAAGAGGTAGAAGGGATAGAATTGAAGTCTCACGCTATCGCCAGAAACCTTATGATTCCAAATATAAGTACGTCCCCCAGGTGCCTAGAAAACTATAGTTTTAATAAAAGAAACACGCTATGCAGGATATTAAAGGAATGGAAGTCAGCAAAGCTTACTTTTTGAGGTTTCCACGTGGGAGGGTAAAAGGAAGGGACAGAAGCTGGTGAGATCACAGTACAACCTCAAGGGAAGGAGGAAGCAGTGAGGCCAGGGACTCTTAAGGGCAATAAGGACCAAACTGTAGGCTTTAGGGATGGTGATAACAGGCTAGAATGTTTGGCTTCACATATGAGCTATCACGTTAGCTGTCATTGTTTTCAGTGCTGACAGAAGGCACACATTTTTAGGTCAGAAAGTTCATCTGTCACAACAATGGCATGTTCTAAATCATCTTCAATTTTGTGTTAGTTCCCTGAGCTAAAGTTCCCAGAGTATTTCAAAGAGGGCCAGGTGACATCTACACAGTTTTAATAAAAGGACCACTAAACATGGGGAAGCTCAGTCTTTCTTAATGAGAGGCAGCCCTGCCTATCATTTCCTGCATATATAGACATCTTTATCTTCTAAGACAATTGTAGACAATCATCCTTGAAAACAGCTAAGCACATCTATTATCATAATAAATCTATGAAGAATTTTCTTCTAACAATGTTAAAAATAATAATAGCTGCCATCATTCATTCATCTCTGTTCATATATTTAGCTTTAGATGAGGGCAGGGCATAGATATTTACTAACTTCTAGATGATGTGATAAATAATACATGAACTATAGGTAACAACAAGAGACAAATCAATTTCAGGTAGCCACTGCAATTATGGAAGAATTTGAGATGTCCTTTTAAATGTCTACATGAATAAGACAGAAGGATGTCACTGAGATGTGCATTTTAATGGGTTTATATTTGGTTGAGCTAAATAACTCCAAGGTATTGACGTTTGATGAGAGAGAGGCTTCAAGTGGTGACCTTGGAAAGGTCTTATCCTTGTCTAATTCTTGTGTTACAATGTTGCCAGTGATTATAATGAACACAAAAATGGCAGGCATATCCATTTTATAAGGGATAGGAGGGAGGTAAATAATATTTGGAGAAATGATATAACATTAAGACTATATATCGAATCTAATAAAACAAAATTAAATATATAAATATGTCTCGGTTCAAAAGCCATCTAACAAACACAAAACTATATAGACTTGATGTAGCCTAAGAATACTTATATTAGGAATACTTTAGGGCTCAGCTTTAACAAATGACTTAGCTTCCAGTGGCGTTCATCACCTACTTTTATAAAGGAGATTTTAATAATAGTATCTCCATCCTCCCCTCTTAACTAGAGCCTGATGCATAATATTTATAAATTATTACTTGATTGAGAATAACCCAATGCAATGTCATATGTGACTATATCTATATAATCTAGGTCAAACATTTAAATTTTAGGTTAATTTCAGGATGAAATTTAATTTAATGAGACTCCAAAGCACTGATAACTTCCTCATTAACTTGAAGAAAGAAACAGAAGGAATGAAGTCGAATCTTTTCTTGTCAGATGACATTAGAAAAGTTGAGAGTGTTCTCTAAGGAATAAGATATCAAAACAATCTCCAAATACATAATATAAAGTGGGTTAGTTAGCAGGTCAAGGATATGTGGAAAGAATTGTCTAGAAGGCAGATTGTGTTCATTCTAGTTGATTATAATGTGAGTTGATGATAATCTAGTAACTATGGACTATAAATTTGGATATGTCTAAGGCACTAACCACATGTCAGTTGTGGTATCATAAGTCTCTTGTTCTGGGAACAGGGGTGTTTGACGACCCTCCTAAAATTTCATGGGCCTATGACTCCTGTAGCCATGCTCTTCTGGCAGTCAACTTGAGAACTCTTAAGAAACATGCCTTTAGTCTAATCACAAAACAACCCTTGTGAGTTGTGAGATAGATGAGCAACCTCAGGAACTTTGGAATGACTTCCTCACATACTAATTGGCAGCTTGGACTAATTCGTCCATTTGCTTGTTATTTAGTAATGTAAATTAAACAGATTGACAGAGTTTAGGAAAGGAAGGAAGGAGGAAGGGAGGGAGGGAAGAAAGGGGAGGGAGGGAGGAAGAGAGAGAAAGAGAAACAGTTTGTATCTTTGAGTCCCTTTTGACCAGATTTTTTGCATATGAAATATGTAAGTGATGTGAGCTCATTTCACTTTGCTATAGAAATGCCATCCCGTATCCTTTCTGCTCACATTTGAAAGAATTAATCTGCTATACTAGCCCGAATTATGCCTGAAAGTCATTTAGACTAAGTTTAGCTCTAGGGTGTCCTCATTCTGAAGTGAGTTTTTTGAAGTATTTTTCAAGTTAGGCCCTGAAAACACAAAAGTATTTAAAACACTGTGAGACCCATGGTGAGAGTTATCAGAAAAGCTGCTTATGTAACTTCATAAGGATTCTGTTCTTTCTCATTCTATCCTGAAAGTATCAGAGCACGAATTCAGAGGAAACTATCCAAGGCAGCCCTGTATCTGAGGACAGGGATCAAAGAGATGCCAGTAAATGCACTGCTGTCCGAAAGACCTCCAGTCTTACAAGATGAAAGCCTGTCTATAGAAAACATGGCTTCCATTTATTCCTGCCTTACCCACCCACCCCCAAGTGTTATGAGTGATTTGAACTGTTTATCCAACTTTAGATCTCAAGGATCACACAGTGCACTGATACCATGAAAAAGTCACAGATGTGGTTCTCTGCTCTCCCTGCAGGCCCCCCATGGAAGAGTCTCAGACCTTACTGACCCCTGTGGTGAGCTGTGGGCCTTCTGGAGCTCTGCTGACCCGCCCCGTCATCCTCACTCTGCATCACTGCGCAGACCCCAACACTGAAGACTGGAAGATCCAGCTCAAAAACCAGGCAGTGCAGGGACAGTGGGAGGTGAGTGAGTGTCGATGGGAGAAACAGGGCACCAGTGTCCATCACTGGTGCAAGTAAGGGAGACCTCTATCTCTAAAGTAAAGCATGATGGCCTTTTAGTTCTCACTCAAAATGAGAGACAGAAGACCAAATCTTCTGACTGATGGGCAAAAGGAAGGGGATGTTCAAAATCAGCTCACAGGAAAAGCATACTCCAAAGTCGAGGTAATGCATGGTTAGGAGTACAGGCACCACATGCTGGGGAGGGAAAGGGGGATCATCAAAACTTGTATCAGAACTCTTCACTCAGCATCTGTCTCTCAAGAGTATCTTTATCAAATACATATGAAAATGATACTATAAATGTATATTTATATAAAAATTTACATATGCAAAATGTGAAGTTACAATATAATTACTTTTGGTATTTTTAGCAAAAAAATTATAAAGATATACATGAAAGTTTAAGGCTGTGATATTTTAGGAAAACTGACTTAGCAGCGAAGCAAGATATTCTGGGATTAACTAGATTTTTCCTTTCTATGAACATTGACTCTACTTGACCACGTGAGGGACTCATTCCTTATCAGAGCACGTCAAGTCTAAGGTTGAGTTTGGGATTATCCTTTAACTAGAGTCTTCAAATAGACATAAATGGGCCTCATGTTAATTTCATTTAAACTTTAAACTGTCAAAAAAAAGTCTAAAGTCCTATCTTAAGTGTTTGCAAGATTCTCTGCTTAATGCCTTTTCCATTTCTTGGGCTAAATGATGCCAACAATGATAGAGTGATGAACTCAAGAGTCCAGAAAAGTACAAGGAACATTCTCATGCAAACTCTTGGAAAGAAGGCCTGGATTGTGGTGCCCACTGTTGACCACACCTTTCTGACTTTCTGAAACATTCTCCCCAGGTTCTTCTTTGTCCAGTATCCTGGGGCCTAGAATAAACTTAGAGGCCTTCAGCTGCTTTTCTCATCAGTGTAAAATTCCTTTATATTTGCTTCAAAATATTAATTCATTGATGTTGTTAAAAGACAGCTCATAACTGCTCAGATGATGTCATAACCAATAAGCTATCACCTGAGGTGGCTAATTCATTCATGTCGTTATCCAGACGTAGACACTAAATTTCATTCACCTACTTTTTTTAGTAGTTGGCACTTACCATGAGTCAGACCCATAGGGACACAGTAGAAAGCATTGTAGAAAAGACTCCTTCTCTTTGGGGCGTCGAGGGAAGGCTCTAATTCAAAGACTGAATTGTATTCAGGCATATGTTTTATTTCCCACACATGAAATGTTTTTGTCTCAGTCTGAATTACTTAAAAGTAGGGAGAATATATAAAAATCAGAATGTATACTTGTCTGTGTAAATCACGGCTCTGCTGGCCCTGGGCTTGCTATCCCATTGGCTGAGCGTAACAGGCACTGCACTCTTAATTCAGCCATACATTCTACTTACCCAGTCTTCAGGACTTTTTACCACCTTCCACCCTGCCAACTGCCCTGGGAGGTTGGGGAATGTTGAATCTTGGCTTAATGACCCGACCCTCTCTCTTTGTTAGTGTATAACTGAAGCCATTTGAATAAATCAGAATATGGTTGATTGGCGATTATTTTTACAAAAATCATCACTTCGCCTTATTTCTCACTAAGTATTTTTAGTCTACAGTCATAAACTGTTTAGAGATTACATGAGAGAAAACAGCAGAGAAGTGTGTGAAAGGCAGTATGTACTTCCCACAGCTCACCTTGTGGAGACTCTGAGAGCTGAGATTCTTTAGGGGAAAGTATACTATTCTGAAAAATTAACTGTAGTATGAGTTTTGAAAGAGAATGAACAGTGATATTATATCATGTCTTAATCCCTTAAGTCCTCTAATTATTTTTAAATATGGATTCTTGGGAAAAGTTGATATGGTATTTGATTAAATAAAATATTGAAAGATTAAAACAAAAAATTCTCAGAAGCAGTTAATAAACCCAGGAATACTGAACTGAAAGGGACAACTTGTTGTTTTTCTTCTGGATTTTCATGTGGAGTCCACAACATTTATGCAAATAATTGCATCAGTATATAGACAATGATAAAAGAGAGCTGATGATGGAGAATGAAGACAGGTGCCACAAAGTTAAAGAAAGATGAACTAGAACTCAAGGACATATTCCTGCTTTATCTACCACCATCTATGGCGGCTGGCACATGTCCTTGGTAGCTTAACCATGTCCCATTCCCTCTCATTCCCAGGATGTGGTGGTGGTGGGAGAGGAAAATTTCACAACCCCCTGTTACATTCAGCTGGATGCAGAGGCTTGCCACATCCTCACAGAGAACCTCAGTACCTACGCCCTGGTTGGGCAGTCCACCACCAAAGCAGCCGCCAAGCGCCTGAAACTGGCCATCTTTGGGCCCCTCTGCTGTTCTTCCCTGGAGTACAGCATTAGAGTCTACTGCCTGGATGACACACAGGATGCACTAAAGGTAAGTGTCTCCCATCTGACCTGTCCTCTTCACCCTAACCTAGAAGCTAAGGCTTTGGAGCGACCTTGCACACCTGGAGGTGGCTCTGGGCAGGCGCACAAACACAAGCAATGGGTCCCAGAGGAAGCAGTTACACAAATAGATATATCTCAGAGGCCATGCTGATAGATAAGCTGTTTTCTCTGTGCTGATTCCTCCCAAGGGCTACTTTTGTTTACCTTACTTGAGCACTTTTAATGAAAAATGTAGAAGAATTTGGCAACGAAACCCGTGGATGGTAAATAATCTGCTTCCATGTTTATCTCAGCTGCGTTCTTCCTATAAAAGAAATTGGCGTAATTGCTCACACTGTATGTTCCTCTTGTGTGCTACTTCATTTATATGCTTTCCCATTCTTTTTACGAGGGCTGTGAGAGAGAGGGTTAGCATTTGACAACAGGCTGCTGCTTTGCAGAATAAATGAGCTTAATTCCTGCCGTGATTATTGCCATTCGTTTTATCCCATTTGAAGCTTTAAGGGATATAATAAGTGCCTTTGAAGAAGTTATGATCTAGAAGGAGGAATAAAGGAAGTATGCTAGGGTTGAGGAGATAAGCCAGAATGTGATGAATGTCATTGCTGATACAACATTCTGTGAGAGTTCAGGGAGGAGAGTTACCTAGTATTTTAAGGAAATCTAAACAAAAGCTAACATTTGAGACTTGTTATGATGGAAGGTAAGGTTTTAAGCAGCATTGAGGAGGAAAACCATTAGAGATATCCAGATACAGGGAACCAGTGAAGACACACCAAAGTCAATGGAGATTGATGCCTTTATGCAGATGTATTATACCAGTAAGCTGACAAGATGGATCTTAGCTGACAGAGAGAGTCTATGGAGTCTACAAAGGTTTAAACAGAAGCAAGACATGATTAGAAATATGCATTAGACCCAAGACTCTGACTTCAGTGGACAGAGTCAAGCTGTTGTTAAGGGGATTGCGGCAAAGTTGTGGTGGTAAAAGAGGCATAAGAGGACGGAAACAGGAATATAAGTTCCTAAGCAAGTAGCATGGTGACTGCCACTGAGGTCCTGGAATGAAAGATCAAACTTCTGTCTCTAAACATGGCAACGTCTAGGGTAGGTGGCTTTGTTACTCTGTCAATTCAGGCTGCTATGACAAATACAGCGGACTAGGTAACCTAAGTGTAGACATTTTTCCTCATCATGCTGGAGGCTGGACGCCCCATGTAAGGGTGTCAGCAGGATTGGACTCTGGTAAGGACTCCTTCTAGGTTTCAGATAGCTGGTCTCTTGCTGTGTCTTCATGTGGTAGATATCTGGCTGGAAAGGCCTGTGGAGTCTCATTTATAATGGCATTTATTTCATTTAGGAGAGTCCTACCCTCATCATCTAATTTCCTTCCAGAGATCCAATCTCTTAAAACTCTGACTCTGTGGATAAGGATTATCAACTATTAATTTTGGATGACACAAACTTTTGTTGGCAATAGTGCTGTTTCTTATGGACTACTGAGTTAGGAGTATAAATCTGGCATCCAAAGATATCCAAGGGACAACTAGATATATACATATGTGGCTTTATCTAGGTCAAGTTCTGTTCCCCTCCCTCCTTTAACCCCCCACCCTTAGCTTTTGGTATCTATTCTTCTATTGCATGAGCCTATAAAATTAACTTCAAAATACACACAAAAGTCAGATTATTTAGTATTCATCTCATCCTTTGACAGCATAGTTTATACCATAAATATGCAGAATTATTGTGTGCAGCAACAGTTTTAAAATAACATATACTTTTCAAACAAACATATAAGGGTTTAATTTTCCGAATAGACAACAACTCCCAATATTTTTCTTTTTTATGGTTTTTTGAGACAGGGTTTCTCCGTGTAATTTTGGTGTCTGTCCTGGATCTTGCTCTGTAGACCAGGCTGGCCTCAAACTCACAGAGATCCTCCTGGCTCTGCCTCTGGAGTGCTAGGATTAAAGGCGTGCGCCACTGCCACCCGGCATTGATATTTTTCAACCAAGATTAGAAGGGAAAATATCCAAAGAAAACAGTAGAAAAACAAAAATAATGACTATTACTGTGTGCTTCTATATACCAGGCAAAATTCTACATATTTTTATTAACTTACTCAATTTTTATAATAACCCCATAAGGTATCATCTCTACTTGACAGATGTGTGGACTCCAAAGGTCAGGAAAGTTTAAGTTGCTCTAGGTCACAAAGCAATGGTGTAGAGAAAGCAGGCCTCAAGTGTGGGCAGTTAACTACAGTTGGTCTATGGAACTAACTTGACAGAAGAGCCAGACAGAGACCAAGGCTGCCATCATATGGCAGCGGGAAGGTCAGCCAGCTAAAGGCAACTAGAGCACCCGGAGTGGGGGGAATGAGAGTGACAAAAGTCAAGACAGCCAAGGAAGAACATGTTCTGTCTGTCAAAGTACTTCTTCCTGTGGTTTCTGTCCAGAGAATAGTTTTGGATTGTGAAAAATGGAAGTTACAAGTCAGGGCTTCCGGGAAGCAATCTCAAAAGATGGCGGTAAGGGACTTATGGAGAAGTGAGCAGCTGTAGACAGCTGTGCAGTCCTCATGGTAGATGTGGCCAGCAAGGCATCCAGGAAGAGGAAGGGACTTTGTTGGTGGTCACTACATATATTTTTAATGATCAAGCTTGTTGGGTTTTCTCATGTGGAACAAAGTGATGAGAACATGGCTCTGTGTAAGGCTTCAGGTTGTTTCTTTAATCCTCCTTGCTGATGTGTGTGACATTTCTAAGGCACCATCAGAGTACAAATCATGCTGGGTTTAAATTCTTTTTGGGAAAAACTGTATTTTTTGGAGAGCCATGGGGTCTGATTAAGGTGGATCCTCTGAACAGTTTCATGAAAAATTATTGCAAGAAGTGCACAAAGACATTGATGGTATCTGAAATGTTTCATATTTATATTCTGACATAGTAACACTCAGGATCTCCTGAACTATCTTCCTTATAGACACACAAAGATCTATGCAAAAATGTAATACTTTGCAAAAACCACTTTGAGTATGTTAATTATAGAACAGGGATGGAAATAGTCAATGCAAAGAAAGACCAGCGGATTGCCTTCAGCAGTGAAAACAACCCAAGAGCAGTTTGTATCATGGTCAATGCTTTCCAGACATTTATAAATTCTCAGCATCTGGGGATCCAGCACTTAGCTGGAAAGAAATGTGAATAATGGATGAGGCATTCTTGCACCTCTTGGCCTTTTAATAATGCAGGAATACCAAAATCCTAGTAATAAGTAAATGGTCTATCCAACACTCTGAAGAGACAATTAGTTCAGTCATGTCTGCACTACCTCACTCATACTTAAAATGGAACCTGGAAGCTGATTAGCTCAAAAGCGCCCTCCAGTACCAAAAGCATACTTTCTTGGCACACTTCCTGTGGCTTCTCACTGCTGGCCTGCCATCTCCATGCTATTCTTATAGTCCTTACATTTCCAAGCTTTTTAGAATTACCCCTCCCAATCCTTCCTTCTCTCTCCTTGCCTTCTCCTTTCTCAATCTCTTCCTCATCTAGTAATTTTTTATCACAGTACTTGTGAAAAAATTTACTGTGGTTTTGGAGACTTGTTCAAGGGTCCTTCTACAAAGGCTCTGATCTACACTGGCTGCTATTGGAGTTATATCTTAATGTTTCCTGCGTGGTTTTCAGTCAGTTGAGGACTATTATCTTTTAAACATGTTCACACATCTTTTTCTGTAAACTTGATTCCATTAAGAAATAATACCCTGCATCCACAAATCATCTTTTCTCCCATTCCTTCACTTACTGGACCTTCCAGATAACTCTTCATCCCTTCCAGTGCCTGTAGTGAACCCTCATTCTTTTAATTCACCGCAAGGCTGAGAGAAAAAACTCTACCCATTCTTACACTCAGTAGCTACTCTGGGACATTTCTCCACTTGTAAGCTGGGTTTTTCTCATGCTGTTCATTACCCACTGCATTCCTTAAGTGCAGACCACTGCTCAAACCAGTCCCACCAAAACCTGTCTTATGATCTTTCTTTAACCCATTTTACTCCAAGTATTCTGTCAAATTCAATGTTACCCCCAGAATGTTCTAGATATAATTTTTTAGTCTTCATATCCACTCACATCATTCATCCATCCATGTAGATGTGCTCTAGGCTTAGCTGTAGCTTCTCTTTTGCCAGGATCTCAAATCTGAGCTTGTCTCCCAATGTGATGAATAAATCCTCATGAGCTTCCATCTCTGTCCACAGTGAAGCCACCATTTGCTCTTAGAAAATCTTCCTCAACCTTCCCTGGTTTCCTGATCCAATGATCCTCTTCTGCATCTATCCATATCCAAAGAGAATTCATCTCATACTTTCTCACATTGAGCTGAAGCCAGCTGCACTGATTCCCATGGCCAATACTGCCCACAAATTGACAGATTCTCTACTTTTTGTTCAGGCTCATTTCCAATTAGGCCCATTACAATTCCAAAATGACTAATCTAAATAGTGCCTGCCCTGTTCCCTTGTCCTTTTATTGATCTCTTCCTGATGCATATTTCACATGGCAGTTATTTGGAGCTTCTTCCATATCCCCCAAAGCTCCTGATCACATCAAAGCCATCTTCATGCCTAACAGCGATCTCCCCACTCCATAGATACTCCATCAGTTCTGCCGTTGTGCCTCCATGTCTTTGATACAGTCTCTTCTCTGTAAATCTGGGCCCTGAGAGGAAGAAGATCTGCTTCCTGGCTTATGATTTAAGCTAACTCTTTACCAGTAACACTTGGAGCTCAGTATTGTGTCTACAAGGGCTTGACATTTTCATAAAGTTACAGCTCGATGTAGGGAGCCTTTCTGAATTGTGGAAAAACAGAAACATGGGGCTTTGGTGGAGGTCCAGAGAAGTATTCATTCTTAATTTATATCACTACACAGTCCTTGTGAATTGTGAGAAAAGATGGTGGCCTGAACAAACCAAGAA